AGCTTTACGGCGGGTACTCGCCGTGATTGCGCAAAATTACTCGCGGGAAACAGAGCAGATCTGTGCGTTTAGCTTGCACAAGCGCGGATGCTTGTCGCGTCCGTGCAACAGTAATCCAGATCGCGGGAATTACAATGTTCGTTGAGCACGCTACGTCAGTAAACACCATGTGTTATAGCGCGATAAATAATTTTATTGTGCGGCCAATGCGTCTAACGGTTTTTCAGCAAAGGATTCATCCTTCGATTCATCTAGCCACACAGCCAAGAATGTCTTTCACTCACACACAAGATGTGCCAAATGACTCTTCTTCTTTTTGGTTCTTTTCATTAAAAAAAAAAAGAAAAAAGCTAATGGAGAACTATTTTATGAGAGATCACGTGAAATCGAATCAATTGACCAGCGATTTCCGTTACGTCAAGTTGGGGATTCTAGATGCACGCCTACTTAACGATTGAGCAATTGCCCGACAGCGTAATAATCGCGCGCGGTCGTCTGTATTTCTACGTAACTTCTTGGTAAAATGATTGCTCCTAGTTTCTCCGAAGCTCAACAGCCAAACTTTCGATAGCGTCGCGTGTGTGCGAGCTACCTTGGTGAAGAAAATTACGTTATCTTCGCACGGAAATTGCCACGTGATGGCAACATTAGCGTCTGAATCTCATTTCTAAACCGTAGATAAATGATCGAGAGAAAACACTAATAAAAAAAAAAAAAGATGAAGAAGAAGAGAATCGCGTTCTCTGAAATCAGGTTCTCTCTATGCGAGAAACGTTCTTCGTTGTCTCATGGATCGAGAGCCAGCGATCGATTCCGACTCCAGCCATTACAGCCTACACCTGACCGCAATCACAATTACGACCTTATCTCTGCCGCGCGGCTCGCACTTTATCGGGTCTCACTTTCCTCGGTGCGAAAGAGCGACCTTTGCAGAGGTCACCTAGACCACGCTCGAGTTTCACCAGCGCGCTCGTCCCGACCGATTCCCTCGGTGAAGTCGGGCGATCAATCTGTTACTTCCTTCTTCCAGCGTTGCGGCTGAATTAGTGCCGTTAGTGGTGTTGTGCCGGATAGGCATGATGCACACATACACATACACGCGCACGCGTGTACATACACACATACACACACACAGGCATACATACAACCGTAATCAATAGAAGAATATGATAATTTTCGACTCGTTTAAGGGGATGCTGGAGTCGATGACGAACTCGAACTATGTCGATAATGTAGAGACGATCGTCACTAACATAATCACGCTATCCTTTTCGTATTTCTTGTATATACATAATTTACATGAATGTGTGTTGCTTTGTTTTACCATATTTAACGGAAAATTTAACTATATATGTGTAGAAATCTTTCTGCAAACTTTTTCGATATTCTTAAGCTTCCAAATTCAGATACGAAAGTAGAGCAATGTTCTTCAAAATTTTTCTGCTTGGAGCATCCACACTTTCGCTATATACAAGCTGCGGAATTTTTGGATTAGGCAAACATTACGTTGACAAATTTGAAATTTTACATTAAAAATTTTTTGTTCGTTTTCGTCACATATCGAGCAATGCTCCTATTTATTTTTGCACGTACTTTCATTGCGTAAAAGCATTTGTAATTCTGTGTAACCAATACAACGTAAACTTTACAGAAAAATATCAGTGTTCTGTTGGTAAAGTTTTCAGCTTCAGCATTCCCTTAATAAGCGAAAATATGATTTTCGCCGCCTCAATAAAACTGGTGTGTGTCCAGACGTTGATCTCGCGTGAAATGCATAACGTTTCAAGAAACGAAAACACAAAGATTTGCTCATGCAAATTTCAATAAGCATTTGCGCAATAGGCTAGTTACGTTAGACGTTATTTGTAATTCCCGAACATCTATAGCAAATCTGCAATTGCCGATTATTCATAGGATTCGCCCGATAAGTATCACGAGTCCGGTACTCGCGGAATTGCAAATGCGGTCTCGGTTCACCATCGGCGGTATTTGATTTATTCGCAGGACATCCGTCTGCATTGTTTTGCAAGAGCAACGGCTGCAAAGGCCATCATTATCAGGCGGCTGATGCGTAATTTGCCGGTAACGCAAGCGCGGCTTCGTTCACTATTAAAGCAAACTGTGCAAATCTGCTAGCCTAATATCATGGAGGAAAAGATCACATCCTGACTTGAGTACATGCGTGCATGCGTGCCTGCGTAGGCGTGCACGTGTATATGTACGTAGAGAGATTCTTTCGTGGATGCAAAAGCGTTGATAAATTAATTATTGGCTTCCTGATTCTGGCCACAGATAATGGCGTTAGACAGTTAGCGAATGAGGCTTTATTTCTATATTTGAATGTCATCCCTCGAGCTCACCGAAGATTTATCTTTTCACCGTCCGCCACATCCTTCGGCGACGTTCGCACAGTTTTCGACGCCGTTTTCCGCGACGCAAATTCAATTGTCATATAACACACTGATTTTATTGGCTGTCAAGAGAGAGACAGAGAGAATTACGGGACTTCAAATTGTTCCCCGACACGAAATCGCTTTCTTCACGAGGATAAATTTGTTACTCCCGAGTAATTCCTCTGTAAATGTAGCAAGAAATGTAGCAAGAAATGTAATAGATTCGTGATCCGGTTAAAATCGACGTCATTCGATCTCGTCACAGGCCATTTTTGCATCGTCATCTCTGCTTCTCGTCGAGGAAAAATATTCTATCTTATATATAATAATCCTTGATAAACGGCAGGTATTAGAAGAAATAATGGAAAGTCGGGAATAATGGCGCCAGAAGTTACGTGGCGAAGTTATGGCTTCGTGCTTCAGGATAAAGCCCAGATTTACTTCCTATATTATTTGATTCGCCGACAAATTGCCGACGGCGAGTTCTTTCTTTCTTCGTCATTAACTGCGTCTTCTCGCAGAGCCCAAATGCCAATAAGAGGACCCATTACGGCGCACAAACACATACAAACACACGTTCCGTGCGCATTGCGCAATCATAGAAGCCTCTGAGAAAGCGTATCGCGCGACTTTCCGCGCGCTTATTCATTTACTTCGCACACGCTCCGCCGACGCGTTGCATGATTAATTGCCGCGAGATGATACCAGGCGAGAGATATGATATCGCGTTTATGTGAAAACGCAGTGATTGCCGCGACTGATGCGCGGGCCTTCCCCGACGGCGTCATTAACAAGTTTTTCTCGGCGAGAGGAACAATTATCGTTTCAAGCGCAGCAAATGGAAGATAATGCTAAGCTTCGTTGACTGTCGTATTGAAGAGGTAGAATGTGAATTTTGCACGTGAGATGGATTTTTACGTTGCGTATTATACGCGTTCGTAATGCAAAACGTACGAAGCAAAGCGTTTCTAAAGACAGCGTCTGATCTCGTCGAGAGCTTGCATTTGTATTATCAGTCCGTCAGCGATACAAGTTAATCGGGCAATTTTGCCGCAATTGTCGAGCCTGAGCGGTGGTAAGTCGATCGTGTCGATAATCGGCGACGATTAATGGCCGGCCGGTCGTTCAGTCGAGAGGGGCATTCCGCGTTCTTTCGACGAGACGGTTGCCCGGTTGTAACGAACGAATGATGACCTGGGTCGCTCTCACGCGTCTATCTCTCAGCTGTTCACTTCCGCTAGTGAAAGGTGCATGCACTCCAGCCGGGGCTTACGGTAAAATGAGCCTACGTGCATCCTCGTGGGGCGCGCTCAGGCCGAATACATATACACGCCGGTTCCTCTCGGCTCTGGTGATTATCGTCTTGAAACGACAGGCTCGGATCGACACGTTACTCCGCGATCGGCATTTTGTTCGCTGGAACAATGTGGCTCATTGTTATTCCTGAAAATTTCATGCAACGCGGAAACACCGCGCGTTCATACACCTTTTGCGCCACACACGCTCTGACTTGTGTGTGTATGTGCGTGCGTGTGTGTGCGTGTGTATGCGTACACGCGTACTCGAACTTCAATTATTTCACAACTTTTTCGATATGAAAGCACACGGAAATTATTTCACTCGGATCGAGAGAAATTCTGGGATATCGCGTAACGTCGATTTTGTCCACGATCGACCGAGAAATCGGCGAACCTGCCACTGACCTTGATATCAAATTTAAAGGAGAACATAAATTTCAGGAGCGCGCGACACGCGTTGCGTAAAGGCACGAGGATCTCCATATCTTATGTATCGTACGATCGTGGAGATTTATATTACCTCTTTGAAGCTCAGATCTCAAAAAGCAGCTGTGCATTGTAATATTCGCAGTTGTATTCGCAGAGCTCGCTCGTTGACACAAGTGCTGAGTTAATTACTTGCTTGAATCCCGCCATACAAGATCGTCATCGACATACGTAAAACAATTCCGAATGCTCAAAGATCACACATTCGAGTTGGAAGTATTTTCATTTGAGATATCTCTGGAGTGTTTTCCTCTCGGTACGAGAAAATTCATTTAATTTATTTTAGGATTTTGCTAACGTGAGAGTGAATTTGCGCGCGCGGAATTCAGAACGCGAGGATGAGCCTCCAAATGTCGTACGCGCGGCGCGAGCAAAAAGAATGAAATCGGGAAGAAATCAACGAAGTTTTGTCACGTCTGGATTTTGCGATTCTAACAGTCGGAATTTCTAAACTGTCCGCGTAGTGCCGCCTGCCAAATCGTGCAGCATAATTCTAAGAGGAGCGTAGTAAAGCTTTGCGTCATTTTTGGCTTGGATCCAATCGATTTAATATCATATTTGTAAAACATCCTGTAACGCACGTTTGTGCAATAAATATTGGAAACAACGCACTGTTGCAAAATTGGCCTGTTTGCAATATAAAGTGGCATGTATTCACGTAAAAAATCGATTTACATAATAATATCTTAAATTAATTGCAATGTCAAAGCTATTTTGCTATTCAATGATCATGTCATTGTTTCAGCTTACTTTCGCAAGATATATCGCAAGATATATTATGTTTTATAATTTTGTTTGATCAGTAGAGAAAACAGATATATTTACTTACACGCATAATTACTTACTTGATGCATTGGCAGGAAAACGTATCTAAGAAATAAAAATATTTGCTCGATGGAAACTAATAACGTATTTACTTGTACTAATATAACATATATTTCAAATAAGAAAATACACATCTTTTCAAAACCTTCGCTTTTCTCATGAAAGCAATTTTTATTACATTTGAATAAAAGAATTTAGCTTTAAATAAATATGTTATTAATGCATTAATAACATATTTACTTAAAGCTAAATTCCATCGAGAAATAAATATCCTTTACTTTTTTTTATTTTTACTCTAAGTGCACATATAATTATTCTTATGTGCGTCATTAGCTACCAGAAAAGTAGAGAATAAGGATGTTGTTTTGCAGAAGAGTGTAAATCATTACGCGATTTAAACATCAAGTAACAGTAACATTACGTCAATGTTATAATTCTTTACTCAACAATGTAACTGTTACATAACACTCGTGTTATGTTGCATTGTTGAGAAAGAAATTATAACATTGATTGCGTTACTGATAGCCAGTGTTTACTCTGTTTAATATATGTTTACTTAATTTTTTAAACACTATGTTACCATATTAACAGACCATCATGTGTATATGTGTGTGATCAATGATTGCTGAGATGCTGGTCGAGCTTAGAGTTAAGATTGAATTTTGCTTATAAAGCGAATTCCGTCTCGTATCGATGGGATTACAATGTTTTCACCTACAGCGTCATCCTCCTCCGCCTGCAGTTTCCGATGTTTGGTAGCGGCTTGTTCTTGCAGTTTTTCATCCATCCGTCCCACGCCTTAAAGCCGTCCCGATTGTAAATCTTCTTGGCGCACGTAATGTCGTCCTGTATGTCATCATTTGCGAAGTCCTCGCAGCGTGCATTGCATAGGCCACCCGCGCGTCCTCTGGTGCACCATTTGACGCTGTTGATCTGAAAGATTCCGTAAGAGTAGCTGGAAGCTGTCTTTGGCCCTTTCACTACTCTCGTATCTAATCCGCTCTCGCTCTGCATCAAGCAGATCCAATTGCTGATGAAACTTCTGCTGATCTTAGCCCTCATTAGCTCTCTTACGACGTCACATTGTGCCATTACTTTACCCTCTACCGGCAAGTGAGTAATCGTTATTATGGAAATCAACAAGATCACCCATAGATTCCCCATTTTTTATCGTTAGATTCTCCTCAATTTACGCGCTGATATTTTGAGATAGCAAAAACGTCTTTATGAATCACTTTATTCACTGTGATCACTTGAATGACTCAGCACGACACTGATTTTTGAGGAGCGCCAATCCAAGCGCTAATCTGCCTGATGTTATTCTGGAAAATGCCAGTTACTGATAAGGTCGGTCGAATCGATAAGCTAATAAGTGAATTATTCCGAATAAAATCTCTTACCTCGAGAGAAGATGAAAGTATTATTCATTATTCTAATATTTCGAATTGGCGCGAACTTGAGCTGTTGAGATTCAATTCTGGTTACTCAAAGAGCTATTGGTTATGCGGAACGCTCTTCTTGTTTCTAGTTCCTTGTTGTATAATTTTTCTGTGGAAGAGTGCACGATTTGTTCGACTTTCAAGTAAATCAACGTTTTTAAAGTGCAACTTGATGCGGAACGTTGATAACGATCGCACTGACGCGTTGAGGACTCATGCGGAAACGAGCCGCGACCTGTTCTTATAAATGCGGCGGACGATCGTGAACGGCCTTGAGCTTGAGTGATACGCTATTATCTACCACTACCGTAATAACTCGCACAACAACTGTCAACAGTTTCGCCATCTTGAGACGTTTGTTGTCGTTGGAACGCTGAAGTTAAAAGATATCGGTACGGTTGATACTAACCCCTTGTCCATAACCTTGCTTTAATTCTTAAGCCGTAAGAAATTGACCAACCGCAGTTGATTATTTTTAAAATAATAGACTATGGTTGGTCAATTTATTACAGCTTAAAGATTAAAGCAAGGTTGTGGACAAGGGGTAAGATGAACGATCTTAGTATCACGATATTTTTCAAGCTTCGTCATTTTGTCAATTTTTCTTCAAATTATTTAATTCTAGTTTGGGCGATAACCTCATTCATAAAGAACAAAATAAAAACAAATTCGTTTATTTTTTATGACGAGGACGGCGGTAATCAACATATCCGATGGAAGATAATTTTACGACGTGATCTGTTTCGTTCACTTGTATTTTCTTCAATGTTGAATAAAAAGCTTTGATGAGATGTTTCTTCAAAGATGAATAAATGTTAATACAAAACATTAACTCTGTAGGTTTAACCATTTGCTTAAAATTAATTCCCAAAAATCGCCTTGAAAACAGATCTTTACACTAGAATATCCTCTTAAGTGTTAGGCTTCGAAAAGACGCGAGCCGTTACTGTGGCCACAAATATATTCATTGCTTGCGGAATAATCAAAAGCATTAATAAACTACAACGTCTAAGAGATAGTGTGTTTTATGTATCGTTTTACGTAGCAGTAACGCGATAAGAAAATATTTACTATCGATAAATATACAGACATATAGAATTTTATAAAAAAATCCGAGCCTTTTTATCGAAACGATATTTTCTTCCTCTTTATTGTCAAACACACATCACATGTATATAACTACAAATTATCATTATTTATTGCGTCTCTAGCAGTTAATTTTTCTTTTGGTTTTTCTTTCCCTCTAACGCCATTCGGAAGCTCAATATGCTATCACTTGTAACACGATTCGCGCGAACTAACTGCTAATTCTTTTTCAACTTTGTTTCTCGCAACGTCCAGACTATTTTTAACCCAAGTTCGACCTCCTCTGCACCACTGAGATTACGAAGTTTCTCAGAAGTTCTAATCGCCGGCAAATTTCCCGAAGATGAGATCGACGCACGATTGGCTTTCTGTTAGCACATTTTGAATGCTGATACAGAGATACGATTGTTCGTTGCGATGAGAATACCAAACGTGAAGCGCAAAATATAACAATTTAAGAATATTTACATCTACATATTGTAATAGCCGTAACGTTTGTTTTTACATGCGTTACGAGGTTGGCAGTATACATAAAATGTTGCAGAATGAAAAAGGCACAATAATATCACATTTAAACTTAGCGTTACGACATTAAGACTCACTTCACACACTAGCGATCTTATAAAATACGGGTCATTACACCTGATTTCTACAATAGTCGGTGATGCGTCTTTCACTATCCCCACGTGATGGAGTTTTTCGCTACGGCAGTCATCGATGAGTAATACAGTTTCGATATAGCAAAGCCTGCTAACATCAGATTAGTATATCCTCTATTAAATCATTCGACTTCTTTCTCTCTCTCTCTCTCTCTCTCTCTCTCTCTCTCTCTCTCTCTCTGGGAATGAGAATAAGGCGCATGTTTGTATCAGAATCTTAGTTATCGTATTTCACGATAAAAGGCTTGTGAGGATCACATGTCTCTCCAACATTGGAGCATTCCATTCGACAAACACATCTCGTTTTACAGCGAAACGCATGAAGTTCTGTCAATCTTTATTCGCTTGAAACTTAGATACAATAATATTTAATATTTACAATGCGTGACTAACGAAACAATCTAGTACCAAAGTTCAATTCGGACAGGCCGTTCATCTGTTCATTGCATGCCATGACTAAAACTGCTGACATGTGCGTAACGAGAACATATTTTCATTCCTCGAAGAGACGCGCTTAATGCGCTCAATCATAATTCGTGTCATTCCTTTACTACTAACTTGAGTTATTTTTTAGCAATTATTTTCAAATGGTAATCTGTCACTTTGCAGACTTAACATCAGCCAGCCGGATTGGTCCTCTTCTGTCTTCTCTCTTTGGCGAAATACAATATATCCGGGTTACCGTGAATCCTATTGGACAAGGTCTCGACCCCGGCGTATGTGTCAGCTTTGGATCCCATACACATAGAAAATTGAAGGCTAGGTAGCTCTCTGCTGCACTCTATCTCGTGATACACATGCACCAGGTGCCTGTCCGCGGTTCTGAAGACATCGAGACCCGACTTGACCGCCTTCTCGTAAAACTCCACGTCCTCCTTGCCCCATCCTTGAATCGAGAGATCTAGACCGCCGACGGCAACGTAGTCTCTCTTATAGAGGGAGACGATCCCGAAGCCGTACTGTCTCCAATGCCCGGAGATCTCGTTTATGGTGAATCTATCTTGCTTGCCGGTCTCGCCGTACACGACTTGGGGATTGTATTGACTGAAAACGATCGGGAAATATATCCTCCGGCCTGGAAGTGTATTTAGACGTATCCTATTCAACGCCGAGTTCGTGAAAACGATGTCCACGTCGATGAACAGCATCAGATCATCAGGCTGCAGCTTCGACACGCCCGTGTCTAAAGCTCTGGCTCTGGAAAATTCCCCGGATATCGGCAGAACGTCTATGCTGCCGCTGCGATATCTGTACTTGAGCCGTTCGATCAGATCTATCGTCTTGTTGAAAGAGTTTTCGTCCTTGTGCTGGTAGAGCACGACGAGCAGCGACGTCTTCTCGCCAACAGTCAGGCAAATGTCCTCGTAGTTTTTCAGAAACCTTTGGAAGATCTCAAAGCGACCTGACAGAGGCAAGATGAAGTTGATGGTCTTGCTGCGCACCAAATCTTCTTCTTGATACTTGAAGTTGAGATTCAGGAAACCACTGCGGAATAAGTGATGAATAGACGTATCGTCCGATCTTTGATAAGGGTTGACTTCAACTCCGTCTACCGTCTCGCGTATCTCCAATCCTACAAAAACATATTTGTATATTAATATCCTGAGGGATAATATTATGTTTAAATATCTGTACATTTTGTACAGATATTCTACACAAACTGAATCACATTAATTAGATAATTTAATTAAAATTTATGCAGAATGATTATATTACATATATTACAAGACCGTTATTCTATAGACCGTTATAGGTCGTATTCCTTCTTCAACGTAGTATATTTAATAATATAAAATGAAAATCTCATTTGTTTTGCAAAATTTGACGCCACAATCATTAAAAAAATATCAATTCTTCATCAATGTTTATGCGGTTATTATCTCGTTGTCGAATAAGAAAAACTATATCTGGATTACAAGAATAAACGATCGTACCAGTAAAGTGTTGGTGGAGATAAACGTGTCGTCTGACGGGAAGAGTGACCTTCCTGCCCCGGTACTTCCGGTAAACTAATAGAAGATCTAATATCGTGTCAGCCCCATAAGAGTTCACCCTTCTATATCCATAAAGCGCCGATCGTTCCTCGACAATACGACCGCGCTGCCGCGAGCAGGAATTAATGGAGGCCATGACCTCCCTCGTGATATCTTCCAGGCCCTCCTTAATGTCGCTATGAATACGCCGCCTTGGATTGGAATCGGCCAAACTGTACTCCAGCCTCGAGAGGAACCCCCAGGGGATCACCTCATCGCTCGTCGTTGGCTTGAACGAACTGAGACTCGCCGGTACACCTGCGCAAACAAGATTTTTTTTTAAATAAATCAAAAGCCTGACTGGTTCTCTCAATAAAAGCACTCGACATATATCGGAATAGACGATTAAAACTGAAGAAACATAGGATAACGAGAAATAGGAAGTGGATAAATTAAAAAGATTCAGAGAAAGTCGTGCGAATATTTAGTAAATATCAAATTTTATACACGCAACATTTTCAGTATTGTCTGTTTTTATATTAATCTACAGATATTATGTCGCTATAGAGTTCTTGCAAGTTCCGCGTTTCTTTATATTTGAACTCTTGGCAGATATAGAATTATTAGAGAATTACTTCACGCGCGTGAGCGTGGTTATTTCCTGTGAGATCTCGATGCTCCTTGAACCACAACATCAAACTACAATTTCATTGGAACGCTATGCCCGCCTTTACAGTCAATTAATTCAGATTTATTGCATCACACTCGCACGTATCAGTTTTGTAGGTCGACGCTCTAATCGCGAAATCAGCGAGGGTATAGGAAATGGAAATGATTAGAATAGCAATGGCAAGCCTCGATCGTTTACATTCGACGAATTGGCATCCAGTATACCAAGTTTGTAGTTCCGTTATTATTAAGCTGGCCAGCAATCCACATGGGGACAATCATGTTAGATAGATATCAATGAGAAGTATCTGGAATATCACGATCGCGTTCTTAAAATCGCCAATCTTATTAATTTGCAAAAGAATATCGGCAACCAAAAATTATCTCAAGATCGAATCTGATCGATTTGTGTTGCGTGAAAAAAATTTACTTCCTTTCAATTTCGACTGCAGCCCATCAAAAACAAAACTAATTTGTAGAAATATGAAAAGTACAGAAAGAGATTCGTAGCAAGAAGAATTCGGCCTTTAGAACTTCGTAATATGTTTTGCAAAACAAGATTTTATTAGTCGAGTTTCATATCTCTTTTTATATATTTTATTTTCTCTTTTTTTAAGAGAAAAGTGAGATCGCGTGTGATCTGTTATAAAACAAGAATACAGAGCATTACTCAATAAAATTGGACATGAGGAGAGATCAAGCGTGAAATAAAAAGCTATGTACCGCGATTCTCGTCTCATCGCGTGATTTTATACCCGATTTCAAATGAATGTGTAATCCTTCTAACGGGAAAGGGAAAAGAAAAATGATTTGAGTAATGCTACAATGTCCCGGTAATATCCTGCTGGAATATCCATGTTAAAGTAATGGAAACACTTGTTTACGCAAGTAGTAAACAAGAAAGCGTTGGTTCAACGATGATGAGCGGTAAAAAGTATCTTACAGTGTAAAAATATGAATTATTTATGAATAATTACGCGGACTACGATTCATGCAACGGAGCTCGTCCGAGAGAGAGAGAGAGAGAGAGAGAGAGAGAGAGAGAGAGAGAGAGAGAGAGAG